GGAGGGAAGGAGGGAGGAGGGAAGGAGGAGGACGGAGGAGGAGGGAGCAGGAGCAGGGCAGGAGCAGGGAGCCCAGCCGGCCCGACTCACCGGCACGCGGCGCACACAAAGCAGTCGGGGTGGTAGGTCTTGCCCAGCGCCGACACCACCTCGCCCTCGATGAACTGGTCGCAGCTGAAGCAGCGGGTCCCATACAGCCGCTGGTAGTCCCGCGTGCAGATGTACTCGCCCTGCCGCACGAAGAAGCCGCCCTCGGCCAGGTCACAGCCGCATGCTGGGGTGGGGAGCAGCAGCGTCAGCGGGGTGCTGACCGTCTGCCGGGTCCCCCCACACACAGCTCCCCCTTGACACAGGTCCCGGTGACTCGCCGAACCCCTGCGTGGGGCCGGGCTCCAGGAACAGACCTCCAGCTCTGCCCTCAGCCTGGTGCTGGGTGGACTTTCCTGGGGAAGCTTCCAGAAAAGTAGCACCGACCCGGGACGAGAATGAGGCCATGCTAAGGGGTTCGCACCCGTGAGCCCAGCGGGGGTGGAGTGCTGGTGCCCATGAGCCGCTCTGTGACTCCAACCGGGCTGTTCCCAGCATGGGATACAACACACCGGCAAGGTGCTCTGTTCTGGGCGGGAAGATCCCGTGCGGCGGAGGACAGATGCGTCCCGTGGTTGCCCCCAGGCCACAGTGAACCCCCCCACCCCCCTCCCTGACTCCTGCCCATTTCCATGCCCCGATGTCTGTCTCCCACAGTGCGGACAAGGCCAGACCTCCCACAGGAGGGAGAGAGACAGTGAGCACTCAAACGCGAATCCTTTTTGCACACTTTGCCAGGTGGGGAATGGGGCGGGTTTCTCGGGACAGCCCGCCAGTCTGAGTCCGGGACACCCATGCGTCCACCCCACACACTCCCCCTCCAGCCCAGGGGCACGTGGGAGCCACGCATGGTTTTGGAGGGAGCCGCCTATGCCCCCCCCACCCCGGCGTGCCCAGCCGCTCCCCTTGAGAGGCGAGGAGGACACCCTGCAGCCCCGGCCCTGCTGGCCGGGTCAGTCCTGGGTCCTCGTGGGTCCCAGCCCCCAAGCAGAGTCTTGAAAACCATGTCCTTCCTGCCTGCCTGCCTTCCTTCCTTCTTTCTTCACCGTGTTTTTGAATCAACACTGAAAATGTTTCATCAACACATCAACTGATTGCAAAGGATGCTGTTTCTGGTGAATTCTAAGTATTGGCATCTTGAAATTTAACTCACGTCATCCTTTTGAGCACATGCAGTGGAAGGTAGATGCCAAAGCAAGACCACCAACATCTACTTGCAAAACCCATAGCCAACTCACAGTAAGCAGAAACTTCACCTTGTCCCTTTTCTGCCTGGAAAGTCTATGTCCACTCTACTTCCCCAAAGCACCGTACGCAAATGTAACGCACCCCGATGTTCATAGCAGCAATGTCCACAACAGCCAAATTGTGGAAAGAGCCCAGATGTCCATCCACAGATGAGTGGATAAAGAAGATGTGGTTCATATCTACGATGGAATACTACTCAACCATAAGAAAGAATGACATCGTACCATTTGCAACGATGTGGATGGAAGAGGGTATTATGCTAAGCGAAATAAGTCAATCAGATAAAGACAAATACCATATGATCTCACTCATAGGTGTAATTTAAGAAACAAAACAGAGGATCATAGGGGAAGGGAAGGAAAAATAAAATAAGACGTAATCAGAGAGGGAGACAAACCATAAGAGACGCTGAAATCTAGGAAACAAACTGAGGGTTGCTGGAGGGCAGGTGGCTGGGGGGATGGGGTAACTGGGTGATGGGCATGAAGGAGGGCACGTGATGTGATGAGCACTGGGTGTTATATGCAACTGATGAGTCACTGACCTCTACCTCAAAACTAATAAAAAAATAACTAATAAAAAAAAAAAAGACTAGAAGTGCCCCATTGTGCTCTCTGCAACAAAAAATTCCAGAGTCAACGTGGACATTGATTTATTCAGAATTTCTTGCGGTCACAAGGCTCTAAACATTTAATAAGTTATTTCTGGATTGGGGTCTCTTTTTTACAAAGATTAGTAGAAAGCTATCAAAATAACACATACATGATAAATGTTGGTAAATCAGTTTGGATACATAAAGGAAAACCTTCCTGCGTCAGTGCTTGGTGCCAGGGGCGCTGGTGACCGAGAGGAGTCCCCAGTGCCTGGTCACGCGAGCCCCGACCGTGCAACCCCTCCTTGGCTTGGTGCCCTGGGAGTCCGGGAAGCGAGGGAAGCCTGGCAGCCTTCCCCACCCCCAGGCGCCTTCTCAGGCGGGTCAAGTTTCAGGAGAGCATCTGTGGAAGTCTGGAGTCTGGAGATCGAATCTCCAGGGAGTCGGGGTCCCCCAGGGCCCGGTCTGCTTGGCCTGGTCAGCGGGGGCCCCCTCAGCTCATGCCTCACTACTCACCTGCCCCCTGAGGGTCCAGGCGGCCCTGCGGGGAGGGATGCCCCCCCCGCTCAGCCCCATCCCCACACAAGGTGAGAGCGTGGGCCGCTCCAGGGTCCCCGTCCCCTCGCCAGGGCCACATGGTGGCACGCGCTGCACACCAGTTACGGACACTGGAGCGGTGCTCCGAGGAGACGTTAGCTTCTGCAGACAAAGTGAGACCGAAGCTGGGCAGCTGAGAGCCCAGAGGCTGGAGCGGCCTGGCGCTGGATCCCGGCTTCATCTGTGCACTTGGCTGTGTGCCCCGGGCAAGCTCCTGAACCTCTCTGGGCCTCTGCGGCCTCATCTGGAACACAGCCCACTTCCAAGGTAAAAACAGCAGCACAGAGAAGCATTGTCTGAGCCCCGAGTTACGCGGGGCCCCAGCAAGGCTGCAGCTGCCCTGACATCACTCATCCCTGGAGGCCGAGGCCATGGCCAGGCCTGAACCCTCCACTCCCAGCAGGAGAGTGCAAACCCTCGGTGTCGTCTTGCACCACGGTGCACTGCACGCCCAGCAGGCGTACCCCGACTTGGGGAGAACAGCCTACCCGGGGCCTTGTCGTGGAGCGCCAGGATGACCCAAGGGTACCTGCACTCTGGCGTCTGGCTGTCTCCCTGATCTTTGCAAGGATCTGCTAGCACATCCTGGATCCAGGAGAAGAATGTGCTGACGCACGTAGCGCCCCGCTGAGACCACGTGAGTCAGCATCGCAGGCCCCGGGGAGCCCATGAAGCCCTTTCCAGCCACGCCTGTCCCTGCTGGTCACCCCAGCTCCTGGCCGGCCGGCAGCTCCCCCAAGCACGTCAGGACTGCAGCTCCGGACCTCCGCCCACTCAGAATGAAAGCTGCAGATAATCAGGACAATCATGACATTCTCTCTTGCCTGTCGAGTTACCCAACACTGATACGGGGAGTGGAGCAGCTGTGGGTGACCCTGAGGGTCGGTCCCCCCTTCCCTGTGGTCATTCACGAGAAACGCTCAGGAGCGCGGGCAGCGGTGGGGAGACGCTTTCTGGAATACCGTTTGGCGCTGACTCTAAAGAACGTGAAAACCGCTCCTACCCTTTGACCCATCGATCTCCTTTCCGGGACTTTATCCCCAGGAAAGGACCAGGAACACCCACAGAAGTTCTGCGGCAGCATTACACACCCTGGTACACTCAGGCTGGGTTCAGAGTCGGGCACCTGGCTTTGAACCCTCGCTCCACTGCTTCCCCACTGTGTGGCCTTGGGCAAGCCACGTCACCTCTCTGGACCTCCGAGTCCTCGTCTCTAAACTGGGTCAAGCACACCCATATCTTGCATGGTTGTCTTCAGAAGTCAGTGAGATCGGGTGCGGGCGACCACGTGGCTTAGCGCCAGGCTGGAATGGATGTCGGCGTCCAACAGCAGAGGGACGGCCAAGTTCACCGTGGGCCTCGCACGTGAGGGACTTGAGCTTGAAGCCCTTACAGGATGGGCTCGTGGGCGGTGAATTAGTCAGGACACAGAAGTAGGGATACAACATGACTTCCAGTTAAAGAGACTCACAGAGCACAGGATGGGGAGGCTGCATACCGAACCTGACAGGGGTCCCCTCGGGTGGCCCCGGAGGGATGTGACCTACTCTCTCCTACGGCTCTCTGTGCTGGGGGGCCAAGAACGGAGCAGCTAACATCAGAACACAAGGAAACCACTGCAGGCGACCCCCATGGCCTGATCGGAGCCAGCCGGCCCGGGGCTCATGGCCACGGCCAGCCAGCACTCACCCGATTCTTGTCCCCTGGGACCCTCCTTCTGTACCAACAGCCCCCTGTTGCCAGAGTGTCTTCCTGCCACGTGCCGCAGATCCTGGAGCACCCTGCGTGGGTCAGGCTGTGCAGAAGGACACGGGCGCTGGGCAGGCAGACGAGGCCCACGTGTCTGAAGCTTTCCTTTGGTTCTAGAAGCCCTTGGTCGGTTTCTCATGAATGCCCCGGGAATGCCCCAAAGGAGAGAATGCAGGCATTTTGCACTGTTCCCTTGTCACCCCCAGGTGCCCAGAGTGGCTCTCCGGTGGCTATTTATAGTCCCAGATGGATGTGTCCTTGCCGTACACCCCGTAGCTGCCACCAAGCTACCGGGAGAGCTGGGGGGCTTACCTCCCCATCACACCCCCTTCCCTCCCTGCCTGGCTCGCTCCACAATCGTGGTTCTGCTCAGTCCCATGGCTTCCCGGATCAGGAACGCCTGCTTTCTAGGGGTCACAGGTGGATATGGCCTCCCGTGCTCAGCATTTCAGACTGGGGCCATGTTTCCAGGGCATTACCAGCGGGGTACAGAAGACCACAGTCAAAAAACCCTGTTTTAAAGGCGCAGGACTTGGCCGCACATACACGGTCAAGAGGTTTTTCGAGGCAAATTTCACGTTGTTTGTAAAAACGGCAACACTTTCATTTTATCTTGAGGACCTACTATGTGCTGGGTGTTTGACACATTTCTATCTTATTTTGCAGCGTGAGAATAGAGCCGGCCGGATTTCAAGTCCCAGCCAGAATCGCACATCCTCCCAGGGCGGACACCATGGGCTCTGGCCCCGGAGCCCTTCGCCGCACACCAGCTGCGCCCCTGCACAGCACTGCAGAGCCCTCCTCTGTCCGTCGTCCCTGGACGCCAGAGCCAAGGGTCTCACAAGGAACCCGTCCCCATCGCTCATTCTGCTCCGGCCTGTCCCCGGGTCCACCAGGCACACACCCTGCTTTCCTGTCTTTGTCCCAGATGCTTGCTCAGGCTGCAAGGCTCTTCCCAAATATCTCTCAAGTCTTCACTCAGGTCATCTCCTCCGTGAGGCCCATCCTGATTACCCAATTGAAAATAACAACTCCTCCCGAACTCCCATGCCTGCCTTTCCTGAGCCCCTCTTCCACCTTTCCTGTACGGCACCTAAATAAAATGTATGTATCCTATCCAGTGTTTATGGTCTGTCCCCCACACTAGAACACGATCTCCACGAGGACAAGCATATCCATTTTGTTCACGGATGCATCTCAAGCACCCAGAACGCTGCTTGCACGCAGTAGGTGCCCAAGAAATCACTGTTGCATGAACCCTGTGGTTAGGAAATGTGTCTAAGACCCACATTCACAATGGAGTGGCGGGGGTGGGATTTGCACCCAGACCTCCAGGCATCGAAGCTCAGGACTGGAGCATCCATGAAGGAGAGTATAATTACATGATCATTTCATGGATTTTCCCAGGCAAACTGAGGCACATCCAACAAGTGCCAAGGTGGCAAGAACCCTCACACTGGGGCCTCTGGTGAGAAGCTGTGCGAACAGACCCTGCTTTGGTTCACCTGGCAACATGCCCACCCAGGGACAGACGTGACTGGTCTCAATGAGTCACCGCCCTCCTTTCTGGTCCTCTGTGCCTGCGTGGGTGGGCCTGAGACCCAGTTCTAGCCAACAAATCAGATTTGAAGTCTTTGGGGGACCTTGGGGAAAGGGTTCTCCCTAGTCAAAGGGAGAATCACGTGAGGAGGGAGCCCTTTGCCCGTGCATAGCACCCCCCCACCCCGAATCCCTTCCCAGGTTGGATGCTACCCTGTGAGGATGTGATGCTTGGAGCTACAGCAGCCACCTTGAGACCATGAGGAGAGGTACTGCTGCCATGCACAGGATGAGGGAGGGGCAGAGGGGACAGTGGGGGTGGGGAAGTAGAAAAAGAACCTGGGTCTTTAACGACCTTGTTGAACTGTTAAGTTAACCAACTCGGCTTGGGGGGTAAAGGGGCCACCTCCAGGCTTTAGGTTAAGACAATAAACATCCATGTTGTTTAAGACACTATGAGTTGGGTATTCATTTTGATTCATCCAAAAGTACCCTCAATGATTTACAGGCTTTGCATCTTCATGAGAACCTGGATAAAAGACCAGTCTGAGACTGTGGGATCTTCATGCTTAAACAGACACAGCTGTTTCCAGCTTGCGCTCAGTCTTAGCTGCCCCACCTCGTTCCTCAGCAGGTGAGGCTGAGATGCCCCACCCCCAAGGGCAGGGGCCTCGCTGATCTACACGGCCGTGGGCACAGCTGCCTGGCGCGGGGTGAGGCTCTGTAACTGGCTGTGGGTGTGGGCTGTGGCCTTGGAACGGGGCTGCAGCAGCCGCGGGGGGTCAGCCGCGGTCACACAGGGCCAGTCCCAGGAGCTGCCCGCCGCCCACCGCCCGCCATGAGGAAGGGGCCACGGCTACTCTCACGCCTGCTCAGGAGCTGGCTCGGAGGACAAAGTGATCTGGCCCAGGTGACACTGCGGGGGGTGCTCCTGGGGCAGTCCCCGCCTCCCCCCAAATCCTGTGGGTCAAACCAGGACTCGATTCTGGAGTCTCATGCCTTCTATCGGGTTCCTAAGGTCTGTGCTTACAGACAATCCTTTTAAACATGGTGGCCGCTTCCCCTGTGTCTTTAAAAATAACCTTTTAAAAGAGCATTTTAATGGATTTTGCTTTTCAGACACAGCAAATTTGTCTTTTGGAGAGTAGAGAAAATTAAACCAGATAAATCCCACAGTGGTCTGGGAAGCTCTCATGAAAAGGAAGAGATGCTTCAGGCAGGGTGAGGGCACTGACCAGGATGAGGGCACTGACCATGGTGGGGGGGGTGGGGCACTGACCACGGCGGGGGGACACTGACCACGGTGGGGGATGAGGCATTGACCACGGTGGGGGGTGGGGCACTGACCACAGCGGGGTTGGGGCACTGACCACGGCAGGGGTGAGGCACTGACCACGGCGGGGGTGGGGCACTGACCACAGTGGGGGGACACTGACCATGGTGGGGGGTGGGGCACTGACCACAGCGGGGTTGGGGCACTGACCACGGTGGGGGGGCAGCATCATGGGCAAAGGCAGTGTTTACAGGATACTAAAGGCTTGTTATTCTCACACCCCCACCTGGGGCTGCTCCATCCATTCCCAGAAAACAGGCACCTCCAGGCTGTGCCCCTCTGAGGGGCAGGGGCAATGTCACCCTCAGACTGAGGGTCCCAGCGCACTCCCACCCCTGCCAGAGACGGTGCCACCCCAGAGGTCCCTGGGTCTCCCCTGGGGGTCACTGGCCCCCGCAGGGCCCCCATGTCTCCCACGGCACTCTGCCCCCCTCCAGGGCCAGGGGGCTTCAGGGCCATTTCTGGGGTGTCCCCTGTCACCACAGAAGAATCCAGGCCAGTGGTTCTCAAGTTTTCTTTCCAAACAATAGGACTGGACATGCAGTCTTCACAGAGGGCCCGAGGCCATGGCGTGGCGACGGACAGAGCTCCTCTGGGGTCCGGGGGCTCACCTGCGGCCTCGCACCCCCACGCCCAGGAGGTGCTTCCCAAAAATCTCCAAGGGACTCAGCCAGGGCCACACCCAGGTCTGGAATCCAGCTGGGGACAGGCTCCCCGTCCCCAGGCCCCAGCTGCCCCCTCAGCTAGCTGCTGGCACGGGGAGGAGGCTGGGCCCCCAGTCTCACCCCTCCCCCTTCCACTCGGCAGCACTTTGCGGTCAAACCGCAGACGCAGGCCCACACGGCACGCCCCTGCCCCTGCCCCTGCCCCCGCCCCCTGGACCGGCCCAGCACCCCCTCCTATGGCCGGATTCATCCTTACACCAAGTTAGAGCCCAAACACCACCTCTGCCGAGCAGCCCTCTCTGGAAGCTTCCGGATCCTTCCGTGCTCCCTCCCCCGCAGCAAGGGCAAAGACCAGAGACCAGGGATGCTCACCTTTGCAGACGAAGCACTTGATGTGGAAGTACTTGTTCTGGACCCTTAGCACCTCCCCCTTGCACACATTCCCGCAGGTGTTACACAGGATCGCGGTGCTGGGCGGCTTCTCCAGGGTGCTGTGGGCGGCCTGGGGCTCCGACACTGCCAGGGAGGGAACAAGGAGCCACGTTAAAGGTGGGACACACGCCAGGCCCAGCGGAGCGAAGCAGCAGCGGCATGAAGCCTTGGGAGCCCCCGCCCCAGCTCAAGCCCCATAGGGTGTCAGGGGACAGACACGTCTTCTTTCCTGGGGACCAGAGGGGACTGGATAATGTGAGAGGCCATCTGGTCAACCCCCAGTGAGGGGGGGCTCCTCTCTATGGCAGCCCCACCCAGTGGGCCATCTGTCCCCCAACGAGGTGGGCATCCCAGCAGTGGTGAGAGATCACAACCCCTCCCAACGGGCGGCCTATTCTCTTGCTGCCTTGACCTGGCAGGTCCTTGGCCGGCAGGGCCTCCGAAGCAAGGTCCCCCACCATGAGTTTGGCAGCCCTTCTGCAGCCAGGAGACCCGGAGTCCTCTCTTCTGCAAGTACAATAACCATGGTCCTCCTTTGAGCTTGCTTCAAATTCCCTCTGCGTCCTGGGGCCATTGACCTGAATATTGTTGCTGACCTCCTTAAAGCCAGCCATGGCCTGGGATGTTTATGGAAGCACTGGGAACCCACCGAGGGCCAGGTCAGGGCGGACAGTGAAAAGGCCCGGCCATGGGGCTCTTGGGGTCTGGGCAGGGTCATACGCTCCTCATCCACGTCCTCCAAAAGCACCTACGGAGGCCAGAACGCAGGATGCTGTGACCCACAGCGGGTCTGCCCCTTTGAGGTCTAGCCGGGCAGTGGAGACACCCCCATGGCGGAGCTGGGGCTGGGGGAGGCCCAGGGGCTGGGGACCAGCAGGGTCGCTTGAAGCACAAGGAGGAGCTGGTTGGATGGTGGAGTTGGAGGCTGGCGCGGAGGCCTGCTGGGCAGAGAGCATGGCCCAGGCAGGCACCCGAACAGGCTGAAGCCTTCCGACTCAGGACCGACCGGAGAAAGCCAAACCCGCTGCCTCACCAGCCATGTGGGACGCCCCCTTCCAGCCTCCCCAGGCCCCCAGTCCCTGTTGGGCTCACCCAAGAGCCCCCTTTCCTCCTCTGGGAAGCTCCCCCTCTGCTCTGCCTGCCTCTGGGTCTCTGCCAAGTGCGGGTGGCCGACCCCCGGCTCCAGCCAGCGCTGGGTACACAGCTTTGCTTTTCTCGTGGGGCGGGGAGTGTCTTTTCTCATTTCCACATCTTCTAATGCCACCCTCCTTTTTTGATCTGGGGTCCCCTGCCTGATGCTGAGATAAGGACGGGCTGCAGGTGTGTATCTGGGACCAGCAGGTGGCAGGAAGGAGTGAGGGGGACCTGAGGCAGGAAGTCTGCAGGTGCAGGTGAGTGTCCACCTGGCTGTAGCTGAAACCCCAGGTGGGCCCGGGGTGTGGACTGGCCGAGGAAGCACCTGCCACGCTTTGTTGGGGGGGGTCAAGCTATTTGTACTTACACACACACACACCCCATTTACACAATTGTCTAACACTAGCTTTGAGCAAGCACCAGACCTCAAGGTCTCCTCAGTCCTGTCGTAAACATGAAGGAGGTCCCTCCAGACAGAAGAGGACATTTCTCCACCCGATTTCCCACCTGTCCCCCACCCCCAGCATCCCGCGTCCCAGCAGCCCCTGATCTGCCAGAGCCGGGCTCCTCTCTGCTGCGGTCCCTGCCCGGGGTGCAGAGTTTGAGAGCAGGCGGCACAAAGTGGGGGCTGGGCCATGCTGGGGACAGCGAGCTGTCCGAGGAGGAGGCTGTGAACACCCCAAGGGTATCAGGGTTCCAGCTGCCTGGGAACGAGAAGGTGCAGGAAAGGAGGTGAGCAGCTTGAAAAGTAATTCGGTGTCACTCCGGGTACCCCAGACCTAGAGTCAACGCCTGCCTCGCGTTTCCAGAGGAGTCAGGATCCAAACAGCAGACTGGAGGGTGCAGAGCTGGGCGGGGGGCCCCGTGAGCTCTGTCTGCCCTCCTACGGCCATGGTGACATTCCCTACCCCAGGTTAAATGCCAACAGCAGGTTTGCCCTTCGCTTCTTTTTCCTGTAGAAAAAGTGCAGAAATTGCCTTATCTATTACTTAATAAAATTGGTGGAAGGCGGCATTTCCCTGGGCTTGAATTTAAGACTCCCCTGGCGGAATGAGCCACTGGAATCCAGGTTTAAAACCTGTGAACAGCCCGGGGCCCGGCGGGCTCCTGAGTCACCCTGTCCACCTCTGAGGCTCGGTGGAGATTGTCGGGGGTGGGGGGTGGGACACAGATCCTCCACACTGTTATCTTCTCATCTGTCAGGCAGACAAAGAACAATAGCCTATCATCTGTCCACGAGCAGACAAGCAAGTTTTTATACTACTAGAATCTGGCTCAAGTCCAATATGAGGGAAGGTCAAACCAGCCCCCCTGGGGGTCACTGTGAGCCCTGGGGGAGCACAGGATACAGGGGCAGACAGCCTGGGTGCAGCCCCAGCTTCACCTCCTGCGTGCTGTGACCTGGAACGCCCAGCCTTCCGTGTGTCTGTCCATCTACGCATCTGCCCTCTGCTCACATCACCTGCCTTGGGGGTGGGGTGGGGGGGCTTGCTAAGATGATGGGCTCAATACACAATAGCTATTGTCATTTGCAAAAACACAGAGCCTGACACAGCCAGTTTCCTGGCTACTGGAGATCCATCTGGTATGGGGCGGGGGAGAGCTGCTTTAAGATAGGTTTTGCTGGGGGGGGCCCCAACTCTGCCCACCTGGAGCCTCCTCTAAATTCTCCTGGGACAGCTGGTCCTGAGAGCGGTGGTGCTGCCCTCTGGTGGCGGAAAGCAGACACTGTGTGGTGGGGACGGGTGGGCCTTCTGCGCAGGTTGTCAGCCTGGCCCTGGGATCCCATCTGTGATTCTTGCGCATTTGTGGCGGGAGCATCTAACCTCCCAAGGTGGACTCATTCCTTGCACCCCCACAGAGGCCCAGTTGCAAGAAATCCCTGCATGTGGACTCTGATGGGGTGTTTCTCCTTGGGGAGCTGTTGTCCCTGTTGCTGAGGGAGCTGAGGCCAGGAAAGGAGGCTCAGGACCCGCAGGGGGCAACACCCGGGGTTTTCCCCAGGTGGCCCCAGGACAGGGACGGGCTGTTCCTGCCAGCCCTGGTGTCTGGTGCGCGGGTCTTACATAAAAAAGGATAATTATCCAGAAACCAGATATCAAGCCACAAAACAACATGGAAGACACCCAGATGCATATTACTGAGGGAAACAAGCCAGTCTGCAGAGGCTGCGTGCTGTGTGAGTCCATCTACAGGACATTCTGGAAAAGGCAGACCCATGGAAACAGTAAAAACAATCAGCAGTTGCCAGGGCTTGGGGGGAGGGAGGGATGAGCAGGTAGAGCCCGGGGCTGTTTAGGGCAGAGAAGCCGCTCGGGTGGGACACTGTGATGTGGACACACTTCATCACACACTTGTCGGAACCCACAGCAGGTTCAACCCCACAGAGGGAACCCTGATGGAAACCTCAGTTCATTACAATGTATCAAAATGGGCTCATCACCTGTAACAAACACACGTATTACAGGGGAAAGTTTGTGGGAACTCCACTTTATGCTCAGTTTTGCTGCAGACTGAAAACCACTCTAAGAACTAAAGTGTGTGAAAAATGTTAAAGGAAAGAAACAGAGGTCGAGAGCTACCACACCCAGAGGCCCAACCACAAATGCAACAAGCTCATTTGGCTACAATTGCAAGATGGGCTCCAACCTTTGGTTTCATGAGTCCCCAGCTGTGATAATAACTTAAAACATAAACTCAAGTGGTGAGAATCGACCACGTGGGGCTGTGACCATTTGATCTCCCTGTGATAAGGAAATCCCAGCACTGGGAAGCCTTGCCAGGAACAGGAATTATTCCCGGAACCATCAACCTGATCGAGGGCCAGCCCCGCAGTCCCCAGCGACGCCCTAGAGTCCCTCCAGGCTGTGATCCTGCTCTCTCTCCAGGAGACAGGAGCTTCGTGCTGCTGGGCCCAGGACAGGAGCCAACAGGGCTGAGTGTGGGTCTTCATCCCCATCCGGGGGCAGCTATGTGGCCCTGGAGAACTGACCAAACCCCAAGAAGCCTCAGGTTTCACATCTGTGAGCTAGAGCTTGGTCTCATGAGGCATTTTGTGAGACTCCATAAAAGTAGAAAAAAAAGACCAGTGCAATGTCTGACAAGTGTCACGAACACCCAGAAAAAGTGCAGAAATTGCCTTATCTAGGAGGCTGTGAACACCCCAAGGGTATCAGGGTTCCAGCTGCCTGGTCGTCCCCAGGCCCTCAGATCTCAGGGTCACCCCGCACCTGGGGACGGGGATGGGAGGAGGCTATCAGGAAGGAGACCAGGAGCCTCCCAGGGGGGGTCGTGCCTTTGCTTACTCGCCCACCTCATTGGTAGATTGTCCCAGATTTGCCGCCACACTTTGCCACCTCGTGACGTGGCAGGGTAGGCGACAGGGACACCTGTCCTGATCCCAGCTACGCCCCCCCCACCCTTGGGCAGATCACACGCCCTCTGGAGCCTATTCCCTCCTCTATGAAATGGGGACAAGTATTCCCGAATGTGGGACCCTCGTGCTGATCAGACCCGATGATGCGTGTGTAGCCGGTGACCCAGCTGAGCACCTGCTGCGTGTGCGGGCGCAGGAGGCAGTGACTGTGACAGGGGGCCACGGACGGTGCCCTTAGCGGCCGCCAGCAGGTGGGGCTCCTAACATCGGCCTCTGCTCCCAGGGCCTTGCCCAGCGGCGCCCAGTGCTGATGTGGTGAGCGGGGCCAACCCAGACCAGTGCGGGCCTTGCTGGCCCTTGACTTGGGGACAGGGACCGTGGCTGAGCCCCACCAATGCCACTGCTGAGGTCAGTGCCACGCTCGGCTCCCTCGCCCATGTGGCTGACGGGCAGGCCTCCTGGGCACTGGGCAAATGGGCCTCTTTACCCTGATGAGCGGGAACACGTCTCTGGCCTCTTCACCCAGCAAATCGTCCCGTTCTCCTCTTGGCTCTGTCGGCTCAGGCCCGACGGG